TGAAGTGGTGCTCATTAGCAGCCGGCACACACTTGTTATCATACAGAATAATGTGAATACTACTGCAATGTCATGGCTATCCTGAGTGCTATCACGCTAGAAAAACATGGGAGCATGCTAGTATTTCTCATTATTTCATGTTTACAACATTTAATAGAGAGGAAGCACCAAATCACAGTTAGCTTTACTTTACTCATCTGACTCAATTTGTGTCTGGAGGTAGTCGAATATCATTTGAACAGCTAAACTCATTGTAAATTACAGTATATTTGCCATATCCTTTATTCCCTTTGAAACTGATGTAGTTATTTGAGCTATTTTTATAGCTTTAACAGCTAATGGCAACAGCAGGCTACTGTGTAAAATGTTGAAGAAGTAGAAGTACACTGTCACTGTTAATACAGGAACCAAGAGGGTAAAAGCAGCAAGGCCCTGCTAAACAAATGTACTTGATTTCATTGACTTCCTTAGAAGTGCATCAAGAGTGAGGACCACTATAAAAGAAAAATTTGGCAGCTTGTTGTTAAGCGCATTCAGGTTTGTGTTACCACAATGCCACAGAGGAACCTTATCAACAGTTGTTATTGCCCATCAGTCTGTGTGTCTGTTACGTGGCATTAATGATCTAAAGCAAAGCAAGCGAACATGTGAGAGATTGATAAAGTCATACAGAAAGCAGTTACTAAATAAAAGAGCTTTTCAATCATTGCGTGTGCTTTTGTTTAACCATGGCTGTATATTAGCCAGCTTAATGCTTATATTTTTGTGTATGTACGGAAAAAAATCCACAGTGCTTAGGACCAGCAGTGGATCAGTTTAGATCAGATGGGCCACCAAGCTTGTAATAGACTGGCAGAAACCCTGTTTCTGAAAGGAAAAGCAATTCTAGCAAAGTTCCAGGTTAGATGAACTTGGGAATAGAAAGCAAAGGCTAGTTTCCTGTTTTTCTCAACATAACAAGGGGATTGGTAACTTTTCAGGCATTAGGTTTCTACTTCCAGACTAAAACCTGGCAACACAGTT